TATGTGTAGTTTTGGTGGGTGAAGGATGTTACTGCTGACAGGGAGATCAGGGAAGATTTCCTGAAGGAGGTGGCTATTTATTTAGGCTTTAAAGGATGGGTAGGAATTAAGCTGGCAGCTAGGTGGTGCCATAGTGCATAGAGTGCCAGGCCTGAAGTCAGGAAAATTCATCTTCCTGAGTTCAAATCTGGCCTCAGATACTTACTAGCTGTGTGACCTTGGGCAAGTCACTTAACTAACCCTTTTTGTCTCAGTTTTCTCAACTGTAAAATGAACTGAAGAAGGAAATGACAATTCACTCCAGTATCTTTGCCAAGAAAACTCCAACATGGGGTCACAAAGTCAGACATGACTAAAAAATGACTAAATAAAAACAGGGGCAGCTAAATGGTGAAGTGGATAGAGCACCGGCCCTAGAGTCAGGAGGACCTGAGTTCAAATTTGACCTCAGACACACGATACTCACTAGCTGTGTGACCCTGGGCAAATCACTTAACCCCAATTTCCTCGCAAAAACAAACCAAAAAAAAAGGAATTCAACAGAAATTAACTGTCTTGCATCTATTTCATTTATATTTATAGAGGTACATGTTGTCTAGTGTAAGCTCCTTGAGGGCAGGGACTTTTTTGTTTTTATATCCCTAGAACTTAACACAATACTTGATTCTAACTAAAAACTTGTTGATAAATTGATTAATCAGGTGAAGAGTGAAAGGGATAAGGTAAAGAGGGGGAGGTGGGAGAGGTATTTCCACCATGTTGAAGTAAAAAGAATAATGGCATTGTACTCAGAGGACCTGGGTTCAAATGTGATCTCTGCAATTTACCACCTGTGTGACCTGGAGAAAATGGCTGACCATTTTGGTCCCAGTTTCCCCCTCTGTAAAATATGGGCATTGGATTGGAGGACCTCTAAGGTCTGCTCCACCTCTAGCTCCTTTGACTTACAGGTTGGACATAGGAAACAACATGAGTAATGGTTAAGAGGCAGGGAAAGCAGGCGGTGTGAATGTCGGATTAGGTAAGGAGTCCAATCATTTGTTTCATGGATCAGCATCTATATTGTGCCTTCCGCCCTTTCCTGTCCCCACATTTATGCCCATCAGCGAACTGTGCTTTCTTGGTAGATCTTCTTATAATTAGCTCCAGGCAGAATTCCTACATCTAGCATGGTATAGAGGGAAAAGCCCAGGATGCAGATTCACACCCCAGCTCTGCTACTTGGTGATCCTGGACCCCTCACTTCCCCTCCCTGGGCCTCAGTTTCCTTCTCTATAAACTGAGGGCAAGATGATTTCTTCAGTCCCTCAAAATCTTGTGATTCTACAATCCCTTTCAGGAGCCACACGCAGCCCAGGCTTGCCTTTTGAAAGTGTAATTCTTTCCACACAGCTACTGATAACTATTGTTCACTCCCTCACAATATCTAGGCTGTTTACTCACTAATATCTGAGTGATCTCCCATCCTAAACAGCCAGCTCAGCTGGCTTGAATCATTCCAGGATGAATCCTGGGCCTGTGGCCTGATAATCACTTCCACAAATGAATCAGGAAGGAGGGGGAGGCTGATTACAGTGAAGAAAGAGTCTATTTAAGCACATGCTTGGTAATAAGCATGTCGAAGAAAGGAAACACAGAAAAATGACAGAAAGGATTTTGCTGGACTCCGAGATGAGCAAAACATATTCATCACTCCCAACCCCAAAGGAAGAGGATTAAGAAAGACAGGGATGGAAAGAAGTTCTGTTTGGGTTTTCCCAAAGTGATGCTATCAGTTGCAAAGCCCAATAAACAAACATTTACATGCTGGAGGTACTCGAAGTAACCAGGGAGAAAGCCACATTATGTGGGCAGCATGAAGCATGGATTATAACGGGACTTTATGAACCAAAGCAAGACAGCATGAATGTGCCTCTAGGTGTTCGAACTTACTGAGTCACCACCCAATTTCCAGGGGCTTTGGCCAGAATCGTACAAAGTGGGAAAATAAAGGACAAGACATTCCAAACAATTAAAAACCCAGAATGATACCGAGGCTTAAGGAGAAAGGCCTCTTCACCCTAAATCATCTTTTACGATTTCATCTCTCTCCCTTTATGCCAAAAGCTCAGAAAGAGCGATAATGGCATTTGACTTGTTTATCAATTGCCTCCCGTGAGCTAGCTGTGTTTTGTGTTTGCCTAAATGAAGTGTTAGCAAACGGCCTTGTTAAGGAACCATAAGGCACAGAAAGGAAGGAAAAATATGTCCCCTGACTGATCAGTGACAGTTTTAAGACCCATCAGATAAATATTTTTAAAAAGGAAAGATTTCTTGCGATTTTTCTCAACTATAGATAAATGGCAAGATAAAAGTATTTCAGATTGTTATAAGCAGGATATAAAAATAATAGACAGCGTAGCTTAGTGGAAACAATAGACCTTGGAGTCAGGAGACTAGGGTTGAAACCCTGACTGCAACACTTTGGATCTGTGTCACAAATATGAGCCTTAGCTTCCTCATTTATCAAATGGGAATCACCCTTGAGTACGTAACTCACAGGCTTATTTCTAGGAAAGTGCTATGTAAATATGAATTATTACTCTTTTGTTCATATGCAATATAACAAATAATTATTACTATTACAACCAACTGTTGATTACCCAAACTAAGGGAGAACATTCGCCAAGATAATACAAAACTTGAAATAATTGGAAAAGTAGAGATTAAATACTGACTGAAGCAGACTTGTGAAGTAATCATTTTTTTCTTTCCCTTTTGATGACTGCTCTCTTTTTAGTTTCTTTTTTACCTCAAGAAAAAAAAAATGACTTCTTAACTAACAAAAAAACACCCAACCTACTTTTACCATGAATGAAAGGGTAAGGGCGCTAGCTCACTGTTTTGACATTGTTGCTACTTCCTCCCTTTGCCCTTTTTCTCTCTTATGCTGAAAGTACCTCACTCAGCTGCAGCCAATTCTTGCCCTGAAAGCAGCCAACATTCTTCTTTCGGTTGTGTGAGTGAGCTCCAAAGAACAAATACCATTGTCAATCCTGCTTTCCAATCATTCAGATAGCGATGAGAGCTTAAAGGGTCAGAGGGAGAGCTGAACAAATTCCTAAGGCTTTCCTTCATCCCTATGCTCCTCAAACCGGGAGAGAAAATCAACCAACAGGCGATTTGTACAAATTCAAGGAAGCAGGGCACTGCCTACCTAGGAAGTGTGTGGGTGGGGAGGATGATTGGTGGGGAAGTGCCCCCCCCCCCAGCCCAGATGTAATCCACAAGTCAGATTATTGAAAGGGCTGTTTTGAAAAGTCAACAAAGCAGGGAAAATGCCCTAAAGAGTTCATGGGGATTAAATCGCCATTTGAAAAGAATTGTAAAACTTCTCATCAATGCAAGAAGCTTGGAATACTTTCCCTCCATTCCTCCAGCTAACCAAATTCAACCCATCCTTGAAGACTGACCTCAAATCCCACTTCCTCTGTGAAAGCTTCCTTGGTGAGGCACGCAATGCACATTGTAATGATTATATAGAGTGACATTGGTACTTTATCACATGCAGTATCATTCCTTGATGGCGATGTTCCCATCTGGACTGTAGGCTTCTTGAAGTCAGGACCGTACCTTAAATCAATCTCTCTCTCTCTCTCTCTCTCTCTCTCTCTCTCTCTCTCTCTCTCTCCCCCTCTCTCCCCCTCTCCCCCCTCCCTCCCTACCACACACACAGTTTTAACACATCACTGGGCACAAAGTAACCAAACAGACCCTAAAGAGCTTATATCTATCTATTCTATTTATATTCTATATCTATTCTACAGAAGACAGGCCTGAACCCGGGGGGGGGGGGGTGTTAATTTTCTACGGATCACTTAGTAAATTAGATAGCCAGGTATAGCCTCGTCTAGAGTGCAAGAGGAGTCCTAACTTACTGGCCAATGCTAGATCCCCTACGTATTTTGCAAAAACTGTCTTTTGTTTCTTTCACGCAGCAAAAAAGGGACCTTTTAGACATCATCTGGTCCACCTTCCATTTTACAGATAGGAAGACTGAGGCACAGAAAAGCGACAGCACAAGAAAGGGAACCCAGGTCTCCGGGCTGCAGGGCTTTTGCCCCTACTATACTAGCATTTTTTTAAACGAGATCTTAGGGGGGTGAGGAGGGACAGCGCAAGAACCAGAAGCTGGTAAATAGTGGACAAAATCGGAGTAAGTGTACGTACTAGCTGTGTGACTACGCCTCTCTGAGCCTCAGTTTCCTCATCTGTAATACTAAGGAGTTGGACGACTGCGGAATTAGATGGTCTCTAAGGTGCTTTCCCACTCTAACTTTCCTCCGGCTTTCTTTGTGGCCAGCTGCGCAGGTGAAAGAGACGAACGGCAGCTATCCACCTCACTACTGCCGCCTAGAGCCCAGAGGCCTCCAGGGGAAGCTTTGCTCGGGCACCGGGGCTGGCGGAGCAGTCCAGGCTGCCTGTCTTGGCCACTGCGCTTTGGGAAAGCCCGCCGTAATCGCTGGCGTCCGGGGCTGCTGGGAGCCGGAGCCTCCGGGGCTTGTCCTCTGTTAAAATTGCTGCTGCAGCAGCGGTAGCTTATGCCCAGCCTGTAGCAGCCCCTCCTCCTCCAGTCCAGGCATCCAGACCAGTGCGCTGGTGGCCCTTCTCCTATCTAAGTGTCTCTGGTCTTACTCTGTTTCCCTGTGTCCTTCGTGTCTTTTCCCCTCTTTGTTTCTGTCTCTCCCTCTCACCTGGGGCTCCATCCCGCAGGTAGCCAGCCCCTACACGCTCCGACTGGAGGAACGCTCAGTCCCCTCCCCTGCCTCCCGCTGACCCATCCCCTGCTGGGCTTCCAGTACGCACTCGGGTGCGCCCAGCTGCTGCTGCGTGCCGCACCTTTGGCCACAGCCACCCCGAGGTTCACTCCCACGCCTTCTGTGCGGCCCCCACCACCCACCCCCGCTTCCCACCTTCTCTTTCCTCTCCTCTTTCTCCTACTCGCTCAGCCCGCAGTCCCCACCCCCTGTGCCCTCAGGGGGGCACCCCCCAGGGGGTGGGAGGGTGGTCAGCCGTGCCCAGGAGAGGTGACGGGTAACCGCCTTCCTATTTCCGCTCAGCCGAGTGGTGGGGTGTATGTGTGTGCGCGTGTGTGTCAGAGCGAGCGAGAGCTAGGAGAGACACGGAGAGGGAGAGAGAGCGCAGAGAGAGAGGAGTTTCTGCCTCGCTCGCTCCTTCTCCCACACACCGGAGCCTTGGAGCAGGGCCCGTACTCCCGCCCCACTTACTTCCCCCCTCCCCCCCGCACCGAGCCGCGTCTCAGTCACTTGGGCGCAGCAGGTTGGGGCAGGAGGCTCCAGCGCCTGCCGCCTGCCTGAAAAATGGTTACTCCGGCGGGGGAGCTTGCACTGATCGGGCTAGGTAAGTGCATTACCTCCTCTCCTTTCCTCTCCCCTGTCCCCTTCTTTCCTTCTCCCTCATCTCCTTCCCTCGGCCCCTTCCTCTTTCTCCCATTGCGGGGGTATGGTGGAAGAGAAGCTGCGAATACCGAGAGTTGGCAGCTTAGGGAGGCGGTGGGCGAGGGAGACCTAGGGTAAAGAGGCAGCCCGCTCCCGGGGACTGACGTTTCTGCACCCGTTTCCAAAGAGAGGCTGTATCGCAGACCCCCTCTCCACCCACTTCTCCAGGGATGGCCGTCTGAAAGGGCTCCTGCAGACCCAGTTGAAAGCTGCCACTGAAGAGGAGGTCGTTTCTAAGGGATTGAACTTTAAATCTGTGTGCAGGCATCTTTGAATATGCTCACACACACCGACCTACACACCTCCCTCCTTCCCTCTCCCTCGAATACTGCGTCTTCCCTCCCCTCTCTCCCCGCCGCTCCCGCAAGTGTAGGTAACCAACTGTATGTTGACTCTTTTAATGAACCAAGATAGGGTGCCCTGAACTGGATCCTGCTGCTAGGGCGGTGGAGACTAGCCCTGGGTTGGGAGGCTAGATTTGGAGCCCAGCTCAGATACTCCCTACTTGTGTGACCTTGGATAAATCCCTTCCCCTTTTGGGGACTCAGTTTCCCTATCTGTAAGAGAAGATTAGACGAAATGGTCTGTAGGGCCCTCTTACAGTTTTTGATCCTGAGCAGGTGACATTTTTGCCCCACCCCCACCTGCTTCGTTCTCAGGTAAACTTTTCCCTCCCCCAAGCACTTTAAGAGTCGTAATTGCCTCTGTTTTCGATCTTTTCGTCTTCTGCTTTTCATTTGATCTTTCATTTTTGAGACCTCGGAATTTGTGGTGCTTGTAGATCTTTTTCTGCAGATGAGTTTCCTTGGGGAAAAGATTGGTTTGGTGGCGGAACAATGGAGCAGGAATGAAACTCTAGAAGGAGCCTGGCTAATTTCCTTTGAGTTTGTTCTTGGAAATAAGCAGGGGGTGGGGTGTGAGTGAGGAGGGGGGGCGCCGGGAGGGGAGGAGAAGTTTAAACCCTTCAATTTTAAGATTTAGGCTGTTGAGGGTTTTTTGTTTGTTTGTTTTTTGTTTTGTTTTTGTTTCTACATTGATCTGGTTCTCAAGTCCGTCTCTGTCGATCAGATATCTGGATTGCAGGGACCAACGGAGAAGTACTGCTCGTTTACTTCTATCCTTTAAAAATACACATATATTCAATTAACTCATATGTTAAGCTTTTGAGGCCATCTAGACCTTTTCACTTTCATTTTACAAATGAGGAAACTAAGGCTCGGATCACTACATTAAGGATATGGGAGAAGTTCAAAATTCAGTTAAGACCTAGTCTCTGCTCTCTTGGACCTCACACTCTAGTAAACAGATAAGACACCAGTAAAGGGTTGTAATACATACTATTGCATGATGCTTGTATTAGATACAAAAGGAACAGACAAGCAAGTGAAGGGGGAAGGGAAGAGCATCTCAGAGAAGGTGACATCTGCCTTAGGCATTAGAGTATGGCTAAGAATTCAGAAGGAGCAGTGGGTCATGGGATCATAAATTTAGAGCGAGGGGTGACTTGAGGGGTTATGGAGTGCAAACCCCTCATCTTACAGCTGAGGAAACTGAGGTCCAGAGAAGTTATGACTCACCTGAGGTCACACAAGTAGTAAATATTAGAGTCAGAATCTGAACTTAGGGCCTCTGACTCTAATGGGAGGGAAAGGCATTGCAGACATGGGGGGGGCATGGATGTAGAAGAGCACAATGCATGTTAGGGGGGCAAAGAGAGTTGTCAGGTTTGGCTTAAGCATGCAGTTTGTGAAGAGTAGTAAGTGATATAAAAAAAAGCTAGAAAAGAGCGTTGCCAGATTGTTAAGGGCATTGAGAGGTAGGCACATTGGGGTGTGGATTTTGCTTGGTAGACAGTAGGGAATTACTGAAGAAGATTGTGGGGTAGGGAACTAATGTAACCAAGTCTGAAGGCCAGAAAGATCACTTCACTAGTGGGATAAAAGATGGTTGGCAGCAGGGAGAGGGGTGACTTTTTCAGTAGGCCAGAAGGAGTGATGAGGACCCATAATAGGGTGGTGACAGTAGCAAGGGGGGGGGGGGGACATAACCAGAAATGCCAAAAGTTGTTAACAAGCAATAATTTTACAAACACAGGAATAAATTGTCGAGAAACTGTTTCTTCTGGGTTTGGAAGCAATTAACCTTTTAGAGGCACTGATGATCTTAATTGAAAATACTCCACAGAAAAGAAATTTAATTTGGATAAGGCCCTACTCTGGGCAGTGAGGATACAAAAGTTAAAAAAAAATAATCCCAGTGTCTGTCCTGGGGGCTACAGGTTATAAAGTTTCACAGGAAAAGAATCTTTAGTTGGATATCGTAGGTGTAAAAAGTCACCTGGATTCTGGGAGCTGAGAATTCTATATGTGTCTCGTCTATCTCCAAGGCTCTATTGAAAAGAATGCTCTTTGGGGATTCACCTTGCTGCAGGTTTTTATATTGGATTCTAAGAGTCTCAAGGTGATCTTAGAATCTTCAGTAGAAATGTAGATGAGGAATGAAGAAGCTGGGTAATTAATTTACTTTATCATCCACCTTCCAGTGGAAAAAAACCATACAATACCTCTTGTTCAGTCCCTTCATTTTACAGACAAACAAACTGAGACTCTGAGAAGGGGAAGTGATTTTGGCAGGGTCACACTTCTATCCCTGCCGTGGACGCTCTGTGCTACATATGTTCACACTTATGTATATTTCTTTCTCTTTTGACCTGTTACAGAACCTTTCTTCAGGTTCATCTTTTTGGGGGGGGTTTTCCCCTTCTATTTATGAATGAAAAAAAATAATGCTCCATCAAGAACACACACACACACACACACACACACAGGCCCATTTCTAAAAGGACCAAATTAAAAGGCAGATGGAGAGAGTATGGAGAAAAGGAAAGAGTGATTTGCACTAGTGACAAATCTTTCATTTATCTTTTTAAAAACATTTGGAGCAATTAGCTGCACCAGCCAACCCCTGACCTAATTATCTGCCTGGAGAAGGGAGACCCCCTCCCCACCTCTAAGGAGAAAGCATTCTAGGACTGGGATTTTCAGAAATGTGATTAGCTTTCTCTGATGCCATGAACAAAAAACCAAATGTTTCTTTCTTCTAGCCTGTGGTGACTGGAAGGGTTTCTTTCATCTGCAAATTTCCAAACCCTTCTATGTCTTTCTTGCCCGTGGCTGTGCTTAAATTAGTCCTGGGGGATGTCTGAGAGAATGGGATAATGTTCCATTCCTGGCAAGTTTCTGTCTAAGTAAAACTGGGACCTCCCATCCCCAAGGCAGGGGAAGGGAATCATCATTTTAGAAGTTGGGCTTTATGCCCCCTTTCAGGTACTTTTTCTCATCTGTACAATGATGTATTGGGACTAGGTGAACCCTAAGATCCATCCCTTCCAGCTCTAAGACTTATGATCCATCTTTGGAGGATATGCATCAGTGAAGAAGCTGTTGGAATTGTGTTAAACCTGAGTGTCCTAAATGACCATGCTGAGAAACAGTATACAGTTAACTGCGGTGGTATCGATGCCACTTCAGCCTTACTATCCTTGACAAGCCAACACAAATGTATCTAGCCCTTAGAGACCTGTACCTTTTTCTATGTCAAAGGACCACATTATATTGGTGAGTAATTGAACTCCATATGACTTGAGATGTCAGGGCAAGTATCCTGGTATAGCCTTAACCTCTCAGAAAGTCCTTTTAAAAACTTAAAGCACTGTATGTCTATGAATTGTTATTTCTTTTTTTTTTTTGAATTGTTATTTCTTAAGAGTAAAAATACAGTCTACTTCTATAAAAACCAAAGTGGAGAAATAGATGAAAAGAATAATGGAAAAGAAGGTGTGATCCAACCTTGCCTAGATAGAGGTTGAATGCCCTTTCCCCTCCAAGTGGAAAAATGTGGCAGCCTCACATTCAATGTATGATGATGCTTCCCCAGTGATGTCCAGTGAATATTGTTCCATGTCTCACATAACCTCCTCTGATGTCATTTTCATGGCATTCTATCCAGTGAATATTGTTCCATGTCTCCAATTCCTCCTTTGATGCCTTTTTTTTTTTTTTTTTTTGCTTTTTGGTGAGGCACTTGGGGTTAAGTGACTTGCCCAGGGTCATGCGGCTAGTAAGTTTCAAGTGTCTGAGGCTGGATTTGAACTCAGTTCCTCCTGACCCCAAGGCCAGAGCTCTATCTACTGCACCACCTAGCTGCCCCTCTCTGATGCCATTTTCATGGCATAGAGGTGACCCCACATTCTTGATACTGTGCCTGAGACAAACAAGTCCTATGGAAATATAAAGGCGGATAGTGTGCTCTTGGCTGGTGGACTGTACCTGCAGTCTCTAAGGGGCAGCCTAGCATTGTATAGAGAGTGTTAATTTCCAACAGGGTAGTCTCTTAGACTGCCGTAGTATGGAGACTTTGAGGCCTTCCCTTACATCTTATTGATTTCTTTAATTTTTGTTGTCACATAGGGTTTGTTAGCTCTTGCTTCCATCAGTCAATAAACCAATATTTATTAAGGTCGGGGGAAATGAGGAGTAATAGATATAAAGCTGGGGAGAGTTAATAATCTAGTTGAAGAGACAAAGCTAATACACTTGGAATAATTAATGAACAATGAAAAGTAAGTAAATGACCAGGTAATACATTTCATAGCGTTGACTGTGACTACCCAAGAGCTATGTGACATAGAGGATATGTAAAACATAATAATTCGTTTCAGCCCAATGGAAATACTTAGTGCGAATTTGAGTAATGAGACTACATCAGGGGAATTCATTATTTGCACTACTCTGATCCACCTGTAGAGTGCTGGACTTGGAATCTAGAAGACCTAATTCAGTCTTGTCTCAGTCACTACCTTTGTGACTTTGGGCAAGTTCCTTTTCCACGAAGCCTTTGTTT